GGGAGGGAGGGGAGTCGCATTAACGTTGTATTTTTACAAACTCGCGGGAAAAAAAAGGTTAGGAAAGACGATGACATTATCTCCGATATCGCGTCGCTTGTCACGGTACCTGATTACTCGCGCAAAAATAGCGGATGAATTCACTCACCGAGCCGCTGCTGCAGCATCCATAGCCTCCAATCATCCATTGACGTTTTTATCGCTGCTTCCTTCCTCGTGGAAAAAGGATGAATCCACAGAAATCACCTCAATGTTCCCTCGCTTATCACTCACAGATCGCGCGCGCGCGCGCGCGTTTTCACGCTCTAATCACTGATTAATGCGCAAACACGACCGCCCGTTACTTTATACGACACTCCCGCTTTCAGAATCCTTTATTGCATCCGCGATGTCGGATGTGAAAATATAATATAACGCGGGATACACGCACACGAATATGCGTCTTGACGAACGCATCGTGCGTTACTTTATACGACACTCTCGGTTTTTTCGTTCGTTACGTATTTGCGACTTGAAATATCGCACGATTTATTCGGCACTCCCGACTGATGAGATTCACGACGCACTTGTGACCGGAAAAGATGTCTTCACTGAATTATTTCACTACACTTTGCTCGAAGACATAGATCACTGTATCGATATTTATCCGTACGACGCACTTTCGATGAATGAAGTTATTCGAAGTAGCTGCGTTCGAAATTTTCGACCGGTGGCGACGCATCATAAAGTGCGAGTAAAACGTGCGACAACAACAATCATGGCGGACGAAAATGTTAACGGTTATTTCGATATTTCGCAAATAAGATTTTTGTCTCAACTAATGCGTTGCGACCTTCACTGTCTTGGTATTCGAAATCCTTTATTGCATCCGCCATGTTGGATAATGAATATAACGCAGAATGCACACACACACACACACACACACACACACACACACACACACACACACACACACACACACACACACACACACACACACATATAAGCGTCTCGACGAACGAACACAACGGAACGAAGTAATTATCTGCTACAAATAGACGCGACAGATCGCGAGCGAGCGTTGTAATTGATATCGCACGACGATCGGCATTCAATGTTCGACGTTCCCGATTATCATTTCACACGAAGAGTTCACGTCCGATGTATAAACGTTACTGAAAACGCGGAGCGACTTGAACTCGGCACCGATACGTGACGCAACCCGATCGAGACTGCCGTGAAATAAGTCTTAACACATAGATGTCGTCACTCGAGATTGTTATTACTTTTGCCGAATTGTATTACCCTATGGTGCGATATAAAAACATACAGATACACTGTCGATAATAGCTGCTCCGTGTTGACGCTACAAGTATTGAAAGCGTTCCATTCGGACAAAGAAACTGTGTGAAAAGGATAGAGATATTTAACAGATATGCTGACCTTTTCTAATAGGCGTAGATTTTTTTCCCCTCTTTACTTTTCACGAGAAGAAAGAGAATGATGAAAAGAGAAAGCTCGTATTGTTTACGATTGGCTATTTGTCTCTCGTATTTAGAAAGAGAAATAAATATAATCGCCAAGCGATTGATTCCGATTCGACGCGACGCGACGCGAAAGAGATACCGATGCGAATGTAGCGAAGAATCACGATCGATCGCGCGAATTGATACCATAGACGTATAATATATAGACTGCGCGTCTCTACATCTCCCGTGTCCCGCAGTCAAAACGCGTCAAAAAATAGAAAGAGATAGCTGCCACGTACGATCGCTATCTGTCTTTGTCTAAAGACGCGTGGTAGGGTAAACAAGCTTCTGTTGACTGGGAAACAAAAATGTAGAGATGAAAAGACGAAGATAGAATAATGATACAAAGCATGCTATCTCTGTCTAATATTTGACGACTCCCTTAATACTCGGTCTAGATATATTATGTTTATATGTGTATCAATCATAAACATAGTATCTCTAGATCCCTGAACCATCCTGGACATATTCAGGATGATCCTGAGGACGTTTTGTGCTGTCTGGGTAAAGAGTGGGTGTCGTCAAATATTAGACAGAGATAGCATGTTTTGTATTACCATTCTATCTTCGTCTTTCAATTCCCTCTATTTTTCTGTTTCCCAGTCGACGAAAGCTTGTTTACCTTTACCCTACCACGCGTGTTTAGACAAAGACAGATTGATGCTCGTACAGCAGCTATCTCTTTCTATTTTTTAACGCCTCTGACTACGGAGATGTAGAGACGCGCAGTATGTACGTATACGTCTGTCGATACACTACTAAAATGCCGAATCGATCAAAGGACGATCATCGTAGTATCAATTCGCGCGATCGATCGTAATTTCTTGCTATATTCATATCGTTGCGTCGCGTCGACCAAGATTCAATGGCGATAATCAATCCGTTATACTTTCGCTCTTCGTACTCATCCGAGAAGGATCCGAGAGAAATCGCGAGTGCGATTAAGGACATGGATCGTCGTCGTGACGCTTAAGCTAAGGTATACGACATTCATTTGCTCGAAATATTCGAATAAGATTCGGTGATCGCGAGGAAGCCATCGGGAACGCCGAAGAAAATCGTCGCATTTCGCGTCATTTCGAGAGTCATAAATAGCATCGTACGGATAATTAAATATCGGGATCTGCCTGTGTAAAGTAAGGGGTGATTGCTTAACGTTAATTAGTGCGTACAGATATGTGTTTCGATTTTACAAATGCTCGAGGACGTTTGATTGTCCGAGAATAAAAGGAGGGTAAAAGGAGAATAAAAGAAGGACAAAAGATTTCTTTGCTCAAAATAAACTCTTGCAAGCACTTGTAGCGCCCTCGAACGTAGCCTACATATACGCGCGTATCATATTGCCAACTCGTGCCCGTAATTTTTTTGTCTTAATTTCTCCTTAATCCGCAGTGCGTCGCGAGTATGACTTACGTGGTGTTGGCAGCGCCGAAAGTAACCAACGACCGCGACGCGTTGCGTTCTCGTATTTTAAGTGCATCGTGTGCGAGAAAATAAACATCGGGAACCCCACATAAAGCAACGGGCGATCACTCGATGCGTTAATTCTTACGTGCGTCATAAAGACGCATATCGGTAAAGTGCTCCGCTTCGAGCAAAGTATCATTTTTGGATTTCGTCGGTGATCGTAAGAATCGGTCAAGTATCGTATGAAGTGATGCAACATACGGGCGATCGATTAGTGCAATATAGATCCGTCTTCGATCTTAATTCATCACTAGTCCGCAGTGCGTCGCGAGCGTGACTAATCGCGAATGTCGAATTAATGGACGATGCGGATCGATCGTAATTGTCGCAAATTGTGATTGCTCGATACATGAATAATTTAATTATCGGGAGTGCCGTATCAAGTGACGCGAGTGCGTTAATTAATGCGAACGATCGTAATCGACTATAATGACAAGTGTAATGAGTGAAATGCCTCAAGAAAAAGAATCATCGCATCGCGAAAAGCAACGGCGGGATAACGAGCGATGGATCTTCAATCCAGGGATCTCCGATGCATCTCCGGTGAGTAATATTATTAAAACTGTAATATCTTGATATCTGCTATTCGAAAGAATATATGTGTCCGCCGTCGTAGAGATGAGATGATAAGTAAGGAGTTAGCCCCGGCGTCATTATCTGTCACGGCGCAAAAGCTGTGATAAAGTCGCGATAGTGGCAGCAGCCCTTTGCCAGAGTTAAGAACGAACTAACCTCAAATTCGAAGTTCGGAGAACAAGCGTCCCGGGCGACTAAATCCTGCGATCTGATCTCGCGCGATCGAAAGAGAGAAAAAAAAAAAAAAAAAAACGCGTAACTCACGGGAAAAGCCGGGAATCCTCGTCGACGTTCAATCGCGATGTCCGTGCGCGATAAAGAGGGGTATCGGGCTATATGCTCGTATATCCGGCAATCTCTCTCGCGTCGTGAAACACGTGTGTGAATCAGCTGTTCGAGCGGAGGATCGGTCTCCGCTTCATCTTGTGATCGGGAATCGATCTCGGTGTCTTTTTGGGACGCGACGAATAACGTACCGATCGTCGCAATCGGACGATTTACTCGCTCGAGTTGAGGAATCCCTTGGAGTTCAGAGGGGCAGCGCCCTTGCTGCGCGTTAACTCTCCCCTGCTGCGTACCGACGTGCGATGGTACGCTGGTTGACGAATGGATTCGGCGTGCCCGCGGAACGATCGTTCTCCCCTCCGCATACTTGATCCGCCAAACGCGATAATCTACGGCACTTTTTTTCTTAACGGGGGAAAAAAAATAGACTATCTCTTAAATATATTACGTTATCGTAAATACTGAAGCAACATAAGAATTATACTATTTGAAATATTTAATCGTATTCGAAACAAAATGTTTGACAGATTGTTCCATTTCTGAGTAATATAATGTGTACACGATATATATA